TAACGAGACTATTAAACAAGAATGGACGCAGACTGGGTGGAAAGAGAAGGACGTAATCGGTTAATGTTGCATAGATGGAAATAGGTGAGATCATTGATGTGAGATTTATAGGACAGTGAACTGTCTAGGATAATGTCACAATCAGCATGCAGACAGAAACAAAATGTGAAACATGACTTGAATAACAGAAAACGAGCCGTTTATTGAGGCTGGCAAAATAACTGTAAACAAAAGGCAAAATGCAAAGCTAACAATAAACTAAACTGGGTGAGCTAAATTAACTAAAAACCTACAACTTGACGCAACTTCTTGGCTTGCAAACAAAGCAGACGATCTGACAACGACACACTGAAAACAGAGGACTTAAATACACAGGAGGTGATCAGGGGAAGTGGGAACACATGGAGGAACAGCTGACTGACATGAGCCTAATGACAGGACAAAGGAAGTAAAACTAAATACAATGAACAAAGAACACACGACTCCTTCAAAATAAAACAGGAAACACTGAAACTAGACATGACAACACAAGCTTAACAGACCTAACACGTGATGAACGATACAAGAACTCAAACATAGAAACCAAGGAAACAATAAATAAGAACTGCCTTTCCTTAACTAAAGCTAAATAGGAACGACACAAACTAATCACAAATCTAAAATGAGACAAATACAAAATGAACTCAGAGACCCACCCTGTGACACTTAACCTGAGGAGAAGGGAAAACTGTGGAGTTATCAACAGTGAGAGTGAAATGATTCGCCTTCAGTGGGTTGGATTTAGTGCAGACAAGGAGTTCAGTTTTATCCTCATTGAGCTTAACCTCTTAAGCCCCAACGCCCCCTGATACGGGGGCAAAAAGCAGGAGATCAGGTATGCTTGGGGCTTAAGAGGTTAAGAAAATTAGGATTTTAATTCGGATAAATATTCTATAAGAGAAGGTGGGAGGAGGAATCAGGCCAGCAGGAGAGATTTAACTGGGTGTCACCAGCAAAACAGTGAAAGGAAAGATGGAATTTATGGAAAATACCAAGAGGGAGGATGTATGTTATGAAGAGAAGAGGGCCTAAGACTGAACCTTGGGGTACACCAGAAGTGACCGGGAATAGACGATCAAGGAGATATGATAGGAACCAGGCGAGGGGTGTGTCGGAGACGCCGAGAGAGGAAAGTCTGTTTAGAAGGAGCGATTGTGTCTGAACTCAGATCCAAAAGGACAGGAATGCTGAGAAGACCAGAGTCAGCTTAGTGAACCAGAGCCTAAATGGCACAGTGGTCTACAGATCTTCAGGGGTGGAGATATGCACATTATGCTAATGTTTTGGACACAAGGATGTCGAGTGCTCTTTCACCAGCTGTTTTCAGCTTTGTGATAAGAACTAAATACTGAAAGGAGATCATTGATAAGTCTTCACTGTCAGGATATCCATATATATATGTAGATGGAAAGTTTCATATTATATAGGCAATTAAGTGTCAGTGCTTCCTATGTGATGCTGAGGAGTAATGCAAAAAATAATGTAATGAGCAAATCATAAATTACTTTCTATAAAGCGTAAAAAGGTAAGTAATACACTGGACTATGTAATATTGTAATAATTTCACTATAACTGAATATATTTAGGAACGCTACAACAATGTGTTGCAAAACCAAAAAAAAAAAAAAAAAAAAAACTTTCAGCGCTGCAAAATTTTAATCTTTTGTTAACTGTGGGAGAACGACAATCACAGGAGACATGCAGGTCTCTGTTTCGCCTCAGTCAGTCGGGTTATGTTTCGCTCGAGTGTGCTTTGAAGCAGTGGAAATGAGGTTAGTAGGCAGATGACAGAAGTTGGCATTAAAGCAAGTGGATCAGAGATGACCTCAGCATGGACTCTGGCAGTCTCAGATATCTGTTCATGAAAGTAGAAGTTAAGGAAAAGAAGTGGGAGCCCTTGAAACTGCAACAGAAGGATCGACAGGAGGAGGAGAGGGGAGAGTAGAAGAACAGTGGAGGAAGGTGTGAAAAGAAGAAAAATAAAGAGCAGTCAGGACTTCTGGGCGAGGAGCTAAGAAATGATAGGAAATGAAGGAGCCACAAAAATAGCTCCGTATTTGTAAACCACGCCAACATGCATTATGGTTAGAAGTAACTATTTTACATAGAGATGACCCTGATCTGTTGGAAAGACTTTGCACAAGAAGCGAGGAGGGCAGAGCAGGCAGTTGGGGAGAAGAGCTGCTCTGATCTATTCTCGTCCCGACCCCACCATCCCCCATCGCAACTGGACCTCAGAGCTGCCCTTAAGAGAGAGCGAGGGGCTTAATGTGAAAGAGTGTTCATGATGTGTTTTAGCTGATAGTGTGATTAAAAAATGAAGATCGCTTTAAATCAATCGCTCTGTTTTCTCTGATTAACAGTTTACGCCTCAGTGGCGTGCAGGCAGGATTGTTGTTCACTGCTACACGTTCACAAACAGCCTATATGGAAATCCACCTTCACCAAAATCAGACGATCCACCTCCACTTAGGGCCCCTCAGTTAATCGAATTTTAACCTCGATTACGATCTGGGCTTTCAACGATCATTAAAAATGACTGAGCCGATTATTAGCCCCTCCCTCGTGCTTT